CATGATACAACTATCATCACGTGATTTCAGTGGTGGCAGTGGTTAAAGTAGCAAAGCGTGACGTAACCGCTGTGAGGAGTTTGGGTTTTTTGGTCATTCTGTCTGTTTGTAAACTTTCACCTGGACCAAGAAAGATTAACTCAAGTTGTAGAGGATCCTAAAATATGATGGTGCAGTAATAACTGTTACTTTTCTTCTGTCAAGAAGTCTTTTACAATGGCAGACATAATTTTATATAGTTAAAGATATAAACCAACAGGATTTCAAAATAAGGAACATTAACTCTACATCATTATGTAAATGTTTGAGTTCATAGTTAACTCCCTTTGTTATAGTGTTTTTGTTAAATTTCTGTATTTTTACTGATATAGCAGCATTGTTTACTAGTAACAGTGAGTTTGATAAGGTCTTGAAAAATCTTCTTAAAATGCCAACTTCGGTCTTATCTTAAAACATTTTCTAAATGCCAAACTTTTGACCAGGTTTAAAAAACAACATATTAAATTTTCTGAAAACATATGAAAAAAAAAAATGGGGGCCCCCCCCAAAAACTTTGAAAAACCAGATTTAGAACACAATCTTACTGGCAATACATTGAACCAGTTTTAGAAACATTATCACATTGACCATGTTAAGTAACATCTTTCATAATGCCAAACTTTGCAGGAGTTTACATCTTAAATGAATACTTTAAAAAGATGATTGACAACAATTTTAATTGTTTTAGTCTTTATCTATCAAAATATTAAAAGTTCCAATCAAAACCACTTGTCATGGCATTTAAGCAATCCTTGCCAATTCTTTTTTGTGAAAGAATTTCGTTCGGATAAATGAGATGTGTTGCGCATGGCGCGGAAGCAGTGTTGCAATAATGGCGGAGAGTTTTCAACGTTGTTGAAACCTAATAACATTTGTTTTGATCGTAGATCAAAGTTTATCGGTTTATAGTACTCTTTAATTTGAGTGTTTTTTGTGAGATATATAATTATTATATTTATATTTGGTGTGTTTATAAATCGTTTTTGTGTTTTTATTCGTGGAAGCCTCACTCAAATTCTTTTACTTCAAAAGAATTCAAATCAAAACATCGACTTAACAAGGTAATTTCGTTTAATTTTTTTTTTAATTTTTGAGTCTCTTAATGTCAATGGGGTCAAAGGTCAAGGTCGCATTGACCTTGTATGTCCAAATTGGTTTCTGACCAAATAAGTCAACAACCATAAGGTCCCCTGGCCGTCAAACTTCATAAGTGCATTGGTCTTGGCCAGTAGATGACCCCTATTCATTTTAGGATCAAAGTCATATTGACCTGGTATGTCCAAACATTTTTCTGACCACTGAATTACTGAACAACCCATTGGTCCCTGGCCCCTCAAACTTCATTGGTGCTAAATTGGTGTTGGCAAGTAGATGAACCCTTTCTTTTTTGGGGTGCAGGGTCACATTGACCATGTATGTCAAATGGTTTCTTACCAATAACTTACACATCTATGAGACATCGTTGGAATGAGATGTTATAAAACTTGGTGAATGTAAACTTGATTTTGAAAAGATTTAAAGCACCTAGTAATAATGCTGACTCTCAAACGCTATTAATGGCTTTGATATATAACGTTCATCATGAGATTTGATTTATATTTGGCAAGTAGAAAATCATCATATTACCCCAACCATTTAAAAGAATTATATGGAATGAAAATGATGAAATTTGTGAAACTAAATTATCTATAGCTGTGCCTCTGATGCATTTTAATAGTGTTGTCGTCTGATGTATTTATTTCTTTTGCTTAACTTAATTTTTTAATGAAAATGATTGGTCTTGTATTAAGGGCAGTTCATAGTATATGAGTGTCCCAGCTTAGAATTTTAGATTGGCTTAACAGGTTGATACCTGACCAACCAACAAGTAAAAATAAAGACCAACAAAAATGCAGATTGAAAAGCTTTGTATGTGTCATCTTTTCTCAAGCTTTCTTATTACTTTGTTTATTGTACTTGCCTAAGACAATGAACAAGCATTGTTACTTACATTGACAAAGTTACATAAACTTGTGACCAGAGCAAAATAAGTTGTTTTTAGAAGGCAGTAGAGACCCTTTTAAGTCTTATGATGAGTTTGATGTGTGGTCCAAAAAAATACAAAAACCATACAACTTTAGAATTCAGGAATTAAGCAGAGTTTGGAATGATATGTTGTAATCAAAAAGAGGACAATCAAAATGCAATCTCTTTATTTACAACATCTGATTGAAAAAACAACAACAAAAACAAATAACATACATGTAGCTTCAAACAAAAAACCCATAGTAACATTTATGCATAAATTTACATATAATTATATAAAAAGATAACAAAGAAACATAAATATACTTTTTGAATGGCTTGTTGTAATGGAATGCAGTGCAGTACAATTCAATTACTTTATTTTCAACATAAGGCCTCCTTACCAAAATACAAAAATTTATTTGTAGCATTTAAGCAAAAATTATGCATAATAAAAATTTTTATTATATATAAAAGTACAATAATTAACAATCAAAATTACATTTTAAAATGATGCATTATAATTAAATGCAGTGCAGTTCAATAAAATACAATTACTTTCTTTGCAACATAAGGTGTCCATAAAGTAAAGAAAAAAAGTCAAACTTCTGGAAACATTGAAGCATTTAAGCATAATTTATACATATTTTACATCAAAAAATTATAACTAACAAAAACAGAGGAACATTTGGAATGACCTATTTTAATCAAATACAGTGCAGTTCAATAAAATACAATTACTTTCTTTACAACATATTAGGCATCCATACCAAAATACCAAAAATATAGCTTCAAACATCAGGGAACTTATTTGTAGCATTTAAGCATAAATTATACATGAATAATTTACTGTACTAGATTGCAGTACAATTCAATATAAAATCTTCATTTTAATGTATACTAAGGCCTCTATATAATACAAAAAATCATATAGCAAACATCTTTTGTAGTATTTAAGCATAAATCATACCTACACTTAATTAAAAAAACAAAAAAACAACAACAAATAAACAAAAACAAAAAACTTACAATCGGAATGACTTACTGTACTTGATTACAGTACAATTCAATACAAAATCTTTATGTGCAGTGTATAAGGCCTCCAATCAAAGCACAAATATAGCAGACATTGTAGTATTTAAGCATAAATTATACCTGCACTTATATTAATTAAAAAAAAACAACAACAATTTACAAATGGAGTGGCTTACTGTACTCTCGATTACAGTACAATTCAATACAAAAATTTTATTTGCAGTGTTACATAATGCCTCCATATAAAAGTGTAACACATAGTTTGTAGTATCAGATTAAAGCATAAATTATACCTGTACTTAAATTAATTAAAACTACAACAACAAAAACAAACAAACAGAATTATGAATAACATCCATACTGGCATGCGAGCAGTTCCCGTACAGAAGCAGTACCCGTATTTTTCATTTAAACTCTTGATTTTTACTTGCCTTCTTCAAAAATTCATTTCAAATCAAGCAGATACATAAACGAGACAAAATCTAATTGTCAGTTCGGCAGTACGTATATAAAGTCTCATTTTAACTCACTTTCACCTGTGCGTCGTCAAAACGTGACCTTGTTTTCTCTGGGGGATTCCGTCGCTTGCGCGCATGCGCAAAAATACTTACACTGAGGCTTGTTAAAGGGTTTTCCACTAATACCACCTGTTTACAAATAAGTAGGCAATGAGATGAAAAAATTGTTAATTATCAGAATGTTGACCAATATTACTATAAATAATAATTTTATGGCTTTGATGCGTAAAATATCATGCATACAAGCATGTTACTGCATATGAATGCGTTGGGGTAAGGTACCGGGGTAATAGATACGCCCGCGTTTAGTCTACGCTCTATTTCCTGAATTACATCTATTTATCTCTTAGATAATGGTCTGTTCAACAATTGTAAATGAAAAATAGGTCCGATATAATAAAATTGTATAATTATAATGGGTTAGATTTTATGTACGGGAACTACTTCTCTTCATACAAAATAATGGATAATTTCGGTACCCCATATGAGGCCTCATAAGTAAGGGTTATTCTATGTTTAGAACATGATGGAATTTCCATGATTTGTGTGACGAGCCGAATATTGATGTGTAACATTCAAATATTGGTGAGTGAGCGTAATAAAAAATAATGATTAAGTAACTGTGATTTTTGTACGGGAACTGCTCGCATGCCAGTAGGACACATGAATGTACATTAAAATAAATTTCAGCTAAAGCTTCCTCATTTTACTGTGCAGCATTATTAAGCGAGGACCAGGGATTATTATAAGCTATGGGCTGTCCATATACTGAAAATAGAAAGGTTGTCATCTAAACAGAACAAAAGAGAATCATAGCATTTATTCTGTAACAGTAGAATAATAAAGGGCATTTATCAAGATAACAAAAATAATAGGAGAGCAAGATTGTCTCCATCTTTAAAAATCTTTATAGAGAGAGAGAGAGAGAGAGAGAGAGAAATGACTTTCAGTTTTATTGTGGGTATTTATTAATTTACATACAATACAATTACTGTGGTCCATTGATCACTCTAACTTGATCATAAAGATGGCAACTAAAAAGTAAACTGCAGGTCGGTTTTGATAGTGTCAATATTTCATTTGAGGCAGTATTGACAAAATCTATAGTCTTTGTCTATCTCTTTATGATTTTCTTTTTCAATCATGAAGCTTAATTAACATGTTGAAATAACAAAATACTTATTTATAATGATTGTTGTTTCTTCATAATAATTTTATATCGCACATTAGGTCCGTCATTGATGGTTAATTTTGTTTCACTATATCAAATGCCAATTATTTATGATATATCAAATTAAATGGCTTATATGTGGAAACTATTTGAATATGTGTAATAAACGTTGATCTAGGTGATATGGAAGCATGTTTTATACCTACAAACACAGCATATCAGAAGAAATTAATTATAAATACTATGTTGTTTTTGTTTTATATTTTATAGCTCTGAAAATGACATTCCATGTTCAAACTTGTGATGAAAAGTCGCTTTTTCCTTTAACACAGAATAGAGATATTTTCACTACGCATGAAGAAATAGGTTTCAAATTGTATTGTTCAATGACAGCTCTTTTGCACATTACTTTATTGAACACTGCTTCTATTTGTATTCCATCTAGAAGATTTTATTTAGTATTTTAACAATTTCATGAGCTAAAAGACTTTTCTCAGACTTGTATTTCATCTCTAGAAATTCTTCTGTAAGAGTGGTCATGGTTTGAACTGTCTGATTTATCCGTTAGAAATGTATGAAATGTATCCTGTCTTCTCATGAACATCATGTTGTTCTGGTTGCGGAAGTCTTCCTCGTTAGCGGAGAAGCGACGATTTGGGAAAAATCTGTAAAACAATGCTTTGTAACCTTTTTGTACTTCTTGGAGTCTCGTGGCATAGATGAGTGGGTCAGCCAATGAATTCAGCAGTAGCATTAGGAACAGAAAGTTGTCAGCAAATACAAGGTGCTCGTAGTCATCAGAATGGAAATGTGTGTATATTTTGAATATGGCCATCGGTGTCCAGAAAATGACGAAAGTTCCGATGATAAGCACCATTGCTTTAATAGCTTTATAATTGTGCATGTTGTCATGGTAGAGCATTCTGTCACGCGCAATGATGTTCTTGGCAACGAAGTAAATATGCATGTAGAACATTACAATGCCAGTAAGAACCATGAAAACAAGGGTGATAACTATTATCTCAGTATCAAAATCATCTACAAAGATTTTCATGCAAAAAGATAGGTGGAGATCAAATTTAACTTCAGTCATCTGGCCAGCAATAATCTCTGAACATCCGATCATTAAACTTGTGATCCATATCAGTAAAATCAGACAGTGGCAGCGGAATCCTTTCATGAACCTGCTGTAGTTCATCGGGTTCATGATGGCTAGATAGTGATCACTTGCCATGGCGAGTAGGTTCAGAAGTGTCGCCAGAATGCCTATATCACGCAGGGCACGTTTTATAATAGACAGACAAGCAACCCACGATGTTAAGTACAAGAAATTGTGACCAAGTGCTGCCATCAGAATAAGGCTGTCGGATATATTTAGACTGATTATCAGTTTTGAATGTGGCGTCATACCATTGGGGATATTCACAATGGCAATTATTGACATGATATTTAGGAGCAGTCCAATGATGCAGATTATCAAATATATGCTTGTGAATGGACTGTCAAACATTCCTTGTTCCTCGTAAATATAATCATCTGTTGAAAAGTTGTAGTTGTAGGTGTAGGTGAAGTTTGCGAGTTGAACAGTCTCAGAAGAGGTTCTGGTAGTGGTTGGACGGTTTTCTGTCATCGTAGACAATAATGTGGAAACACTCATTATGTATACCATGAGCACATCTTTGATGAAATCTGAAATACAACATTAAAGTTAATGATATACAATGAACTCTACTTATAACAATATTGCCTGTAACAATATACTGCTTGTAAGGATGCTAATTTATACAATGTATGAATGTTATAATTATAATGTAGGATTCTAACTGACCTATATGACCAGTATCTCTACACATGATAAAGGCTGAAAACTGTAACCGCTACAGAGCCACAGCCTAGCCTTTAAGACAAGATTGTTGGCTGCTATTAATTTAACTGTTTTTATGAATGGTGGTGAATGCATCGGAGAAGGAATAAAAAAAAAAATATGGCTGCATCCAGGGTTCTTACCCTGTCAAGAGCAAGCTACATGTATTGTTTTCTTGAGCAAGAAACTTTACACTTATGACTTTGTACTGGTAAGGTCTAGAAACTGATACAAAATTGTATAAAGTCATAACTTCCTACAGAATAAATCTAAATATAAATCCTGTAAAAACTAAACTTTGAATCTTGAAACAAATAATAATATGGTGCTAAAATGAAGCAAGTCTGGGCAGACATGAGGATGTTTTCTTGTGGCATGTTGGGAAGTCTTTATCATTCATAAAATTGTCAGATTTGATATAATACTACTTAAATTCTTTGAGAATAATAAACTTGATAAAAATTTGAAAATTGAAAAATAAACACAAAAACAACACCTTTCTAAGCATGTTGTCAAAAGTCCACAAAATATCAGTTTGGTAGACAGAAACTTGGCTACTAGAAATTTTGCTTTCCAAATGATTTATTTTATTTTGATTTTTCTTTTTTGAAATAAAAGAGCCAATATGAATGATCGTCTTTAAATACACTTCAAGGTGTATTTTAGGGTTACTTATAGACATAATATATAGATTGACACATAGATTGCCATCTACGTAACAAATGTTACTTAGACTTTCCATTATCTTTAAAAAGAATATCTAAAAAGAAAACTTTTTTAAGCCAAAACAGATTTATGTCTATATGTGTTACACACTAGTTTTGCCATCTACATGCATGGAGAGATTTTAGAGAGATTGTAATGTTTTTAATGGCACAAATGTTCACCATTGTTTAGAGGGTTGTATCATGCACAATGTTACAGTGCTGGCAGTCAAGGTTACACCGACTTAGAGGTCAAAGGTTGGATATATTAAGAAAGTGTTGTATGGACACTGATACTAGTGATAGTCTTCAATTTAGGATTTTATCACAATCATGAAAAGGTGTCTTGCCAGCATAATCTCTGTCAATATAAAAAAAAAAGGTCAAGGTCACCAGAGGAAAATGCTTGGTATGGGGGAAAACTTGAACATTTTTGAAAGGCTTTTAATGTGACATGACACAAAATCTAATGTTCACCATTGTGAGGCAATGTTGAATGCATAATGCAAGTCCCTATGGCTAATGCCAAGCCAGGTCTACTTTGGTAGTCCAAGTTCAATTAAAAAACGGAAATTGGTTCTATAGTTCACTTAAAAATATGAATACGCTTGTATAGAAAAAATAGGTTTATATCACAAATGTTCACAATAATGTGACTGGGTATTGTGAACGTAATTCAGGTCAAAATTCAAGGTCAAGATCACAAGAAAAGATGTTGTGTTACACATATGAATCAGGTTTCAGTGTCAAAGGTCAAGATCAGAGGAAAACACCTGTGACACACATAAGGGATTGTTATGTAAGTCAAACTTCTATAAAGAAACCAATTAGAGGCATCACCAAAATGGTTGCTTTTCATTTTAGAATGAATTTTAAACAGACAAAAGGCAACTCTGCACATAGTGCTCTTGTATTATAGCATAAGGTGGTGTTCCATGAAACCACGAAAACTGGACAGGTAAAAATGGTAACTGGATGAAGAAACATATAGGACACACTAAGCTGACCAATTTATTAGTTGTTGTTGAAGAAGTCGCTTAACACAATAAAGATATAGAGACAAACTTGGATCAGGGGAAGTTAAAGTGGTTAGACTGTACAACATTGTTAAGCAGCGATAGTTGTGTGCTCAAAATTCAGATCCCTTTGGCCAAATCAAGGTCATAATTATGCAGGAGTCCGATGTCAAAATTAATAAGAAATTGAAAATGTTGAGTATTGATCATTTAGTCATAATAAATGGTGGGATTTTAAAGGCCCAAACTTCACTGATTTAATAGCTCCCAAAACACAGAAAGTTTGAAATTCTTGCCAAGATCCAGTTGAAAAAATAATTGCAAAAAGATGATAAAGAAATATTCTTAGAATTTAATTGAAGTATGATTTCTTAGCCTGATTTGAGTTTTAACTGTTTAAACGCTCTTCATTTTTATGTTATTTTGCACAAATCACTATTTGCATGTTTTTTTTCCATCAAAACTGATTTCAAAGTGCTGAAACTTCTCAATGAATTGAGATAGAGTAAAAGGCTTTTCAGCGTCGGTTACTAGTTAACCTAAGATCGACCTGAGGCCATTTTTAGCCTGTCACATGTCCAAAATTTTCTTGGAGATGAGGGGGACTCCGCCCCCCTTCAAACCCCACAAACAGAAGGGGGCACATCCCCCTTCTGGCAACCCCCTGATGTAATATTTGGATGGTGGACGGCGCCGAAAAAGTTGACACTTTTTTTAACAACATTTCTCAACGAAAAACAGTGTTGGGGGCCTAAATAGAGCATTTTTTCACTGTTTGAGGCCTAAAAAGAGGGGGGGGGGGTCAAAAAGCCGTTGAAACACGCTTATATAAGGGAAAAGGTTAAAAAGTACCGCCTCTGTGGTCGAGGGGTTAGAGTCGATGACTTCTAATCCAGTTACCTCTCTGGCGTGGGTTCGATCCCCAGGAGATGCTTTGGTAGTTTAGCACGGAGGAAGGTAGTCTAGTACTGGTGTAACTCTCCAGGAACGATGGTTAGGAAACTACCCGCCTATATGACTGAAATACTGTTGGGAAAAGGCGTAAAATGAAACAAACAAACAAAAAGTTCCTTTGTAATAAGTTATATACGCATGTTCCTATAAATGATCATGGACATGAACTTCTGTAGTTATACCCCCGCACAACAAAGTTGTAAGGGGGGTTTACTGGAATCAGCTTGTCCGTCCGTCCGGCTGTCCGTCGGTTTTTTCTTGTCCGCCCAATAACTTAAGATTCCTTTGTCCCTTAGTCTTTATATTTGGCATGGAGGTTAGTCATGATTAGTAGATGACCCCTATTGATTTTGAGGTCACTAGGTCAAAGGTCAAGGTCACAGGGGCCTTGACTTCAAAAAGCTTGTCCGCCCAATAACTTAAGATTCCTTTGACCTACAGTCGTCATATTTGGCATGGAGGTTAGTCATGATTAATAGATGACCCCTATTGATTTTGAGGTCACCAGGTCAAAGGTCAAGGTCACAGGGGCCTTGACTTCAAAAAGGTTGTCCGCCCAATAACTTAAGATTCCTTTGACCCACAGTCTTCATATTTGGCATGGAGGTTAGTCATGATAAGTAGATGACCCCTATTGACTTTGAGGTCACCAGGTCAAAGGTCAAGGTCACAGGGGCCTTGACTTAAAAAAGCTTGTCCGCCCTATAACTTAAGATTCCTTTGACCCACAGTCTTCATATTTGTCATGGAGGTTAGTCATGATTAGTAGATGACCCCTATTGATTTTGAGGTCACCAGGTCAAAGGTCAAGGTTACAGGGGCCTTGGCTTCAAAAAGCTTGTCTGCCCAATAACTTAAGATTCCTTTGACCCACAGTCTTCATATTTGGAATGTTGGTTAGTCATGATTAGTAGATGACCCCTATTGATTTTGAGGTCACCAGGTCAAAGGTCAAGGTCACAGGGACTTTGACTTCAAAAAGTTTGTCTGCCCAATAACTTTAGATTCCTTTGACCCACAGTCTTCATATTTGGCATGGATGTTGATTATGATAATAGTAGATGACCCCTGTTGATTTTGAATTCACTGGATCAAAGGTCAAGGTCATAGGGACTTTGACTTCAAAAAATTTGTCCACCCATTAACTTAAGATTCCTTTGACCCACAGTCTTCATATTTGGCATGGATGTTGATCATGACTATTAGGTGACACCTATTGATTTTGAGGTCACTGGGTTAAAGGTCAAGGTCACAGGGACCTTGACAAAAAAAAAGCTTTTCTTCTCAATTGCTAAAGAATGTCCTGTCCGCAATGTATTGATTTTCACATTTGAAGCATGTAGAATACATAACTTAGCAATGCACTGGCTTAGTAACCTCAGATTTGGCAGGGAGGTTGTCCTTGAGCTCTAAATGGCCTCTGTTGATTCTGACAAAGTGGTATGCGGGGGTATTCACGCCATGATAGTGGCAGTTCTAAGTAGTTAACTGTTGGAGCTGAATTTAACTTATCTCTTTTAGAATTTTCCTTTAAGAAACAGAAAATTGCGACTGTTCTTAAATGACATATGGGCAAAGCATTGCTGAGTGACTCCTCAAAAGATAATGTAAATCATTCCCCTAGGGTTAAAAAAATAACCAACTCCCCCATGTGGTCATTTTCTTTGTGATTGCAAAATATATTTTAACATTTTTTAAAATATAAACATTTACACCCAGATCATAAGCATTTTAAGTACAGTGAAACTGGGTTTAAATAATGTTGAACTCATGATGCCCTTGACATTTTGTGTGCTATATTCTAGGCTTTTTAAATAACCAATAAAAAGAATAAGTATCATATAATTTTTACAACCAATGTGATAAGTTATATAAATGATGGCCAGAGGCTTTACCAACTGCATTTTCTTTGAATTTAAATGCTTTATATTAAAAAAAAAAAAAAATAACATTCATTGCATGACTGATTCTATATATTTCTTGTATTTATAGAAACTTCAGACTAAATATTTATAAATTCCGCAAATGTTTAATATGCATATTTTTTTATAAAAAAAAATAGAAGCTAAGCAGTAAATTTTGATAAACTTGA